GGGGGGGGGGGGGGGAGGAGGGAAATGTTTTAACGGTATGACACGGCTGGAGAGGTAGTTGAACAGCCTACTATCTGCAGCAACTCTAAAAACAGATCCACCGGAGAAGGATGTGCCATCGGGGAAAATATACCCCTCACAGGTACCTTCAGGCAGCCTCGAGGTCCGATCCTAACTTCGGCGGCATGACAGCGTCGCAGATGGCTCAACACACAGAGGCGTCAACAGTGCCTCTTCAAATTTTTCTCGCCATTCTTCTCCTTCCCTGCGGCTATTAGCCCAAATACCCTCGTCCCTTAAAGTCCTCGAATCCTTTTCTTTCTCCAATCCTTTTCTTTCTCCTACCTTGATGGCATCCCCCCTACCCCACTGGTCGTACGCGGCGAAGAAGGTCTCGAACTCCCTTAGCACCTCCGCGTTGAAGGCGTCTGCCTGCACGGCTCTCTTGTACACCGTCTCCACGTCGGCCGGGTCCTGCATCGCTGCCATGACGGCGGTGGTCACGTACTTGCCGGCGCAGCAGTGCGTCACCTTTCCGGGGGACCGCCTTGCTCCCGTCGTGCCGAAGACTTCCACCTTTAGTCCGGAAGGAAGGAGGGGTACGCGAGGGGTAGGGGGGGAGGGTGCAGTCGAGAAGTATCTATGCTTGCATGGGATTCGTGCAGCAAGGCACAGCACGACCAGCGGTTTCACCCATCCATGGGAGGACGACAGTGAGAGCTACAGACTTCAATTCGTTGACTCTCGGGTCTGCATCTCGAGCAACGGTTGCAGCACGTCAGGTCTGTGCCACGCCAGGCCTATACCGTTTACGCACGCACGAGCCCCAAGTCCACCGATCGTTAAAGGAGCATAGCTCGGGAATGCGTCTTCCCTACCGGCACAACCATCGTGGCGTTGTCTGACCTGCGCCATGTGGAGGAAGTCAAACCCTTGCAACTGGACGCGCACGTAGCGCGCCATTGTTTGGTCTGGGCACCTCCAAACCAAGCACCTTTGCTCCTAGCAATCGGCAGCAAAGTAGGTGATAATACATGGGGGGAAAGGGGGCGCGTGGGGATCAGGTCTGCTCGTACCTAGGCCCTGTCCTCCGCCTTACTACTTCGTCTTTGTCGTGCTTTTTCTCGGTATACCATGAGACTTGTGTGTTACAATAATGGACTGTATGTATGGCACCACTGTGCATGAAAGCCAGCCTGTTGCACGTATCAGCCGGACCAGCACATCAACCGATAACTTGGTAGGTAAAACGTACCTCCTTGAAGTGGGCACGAGCGACGGCCGTGTTCATGGCGTCCAGCAGAGCCGCCCCGCCAACGTCATCCTTGAAAGGCTCCTGGGAGGCCATCACCCAGCACGGAAAGAGTCTCTTCGCGTAAAAGTTGCGCTCCATCGACGGATCCTTGGGCTCGTCGCACCTGTTCCAGATCTTGGTACATAGGTACGGGCATCGCAGATGTAAGGAGGCGTCAGATCTGCTGTTCGGATTGATCGAGTCGAAGGGAGGGTCATCCTGTAGATACAGATAATAACTGACGGAGGATTCGCGACGTCAGCGTGGGTGTTCGTTCGTACCGCACACGAAGGTTTTCTTCTTCGTTTGACACACCGGATTATGGCTTGTCTCAATGAAAGAATTTACCATTAATCCACAACTCTCTCGAAATCAAGGACGGTGGTTCCATCCTGGCCGTTGAAAGCTTTCACTATGGGTGCACGAGGTGTACCATTCACCCCTCTCCCCCCCCGAAAGCTCCCTGCCTCGGTTCTAACCCTTTTACTCATGTCCCCCGTCTGTTTTCACTTACTCCCCGCCCTTAGAAACGTCGCTGGCATTGGCCAACGTCGTTGATGGCGTGCTTTCTCGCGCATTTCGGGAACCTGATGCTACAACACGAGCACAGTCCTGTGTTGTTTGCGGGCAATGTGCAGAAAGCGCAGCAACTTCAGGATTCGGGAGTTAAGAGCCTAAAAAGAATCCATTTTTCCACCACCTAAGAAGTTAGCCTCACCCCACACTTGAACATACACAGAAGAAGCTCCTGTTGAGCTACCCCGCCGGGGAAATAAAGAACGTGCACGCAGTTGGTACGGTAGAAATGTGTCGATCCCGCGGTTTACCGCATGCTCAAACAGCAAACGTTAGCAAGGACGCTTTCCACCAATACCTTCACTTGATGCACGTGCACCAGCTGCCCCAGGTCCACCTCCCACCACCCCTGGGGGTCCTGCTGCGTGCAGGAGCACTTGCGGTAGTGGTCTCCGGACCGCTCCCCGTCGACCGCCATTGCCGCGCTCAGGCCGTCATACACGCTGCTCTGGCGGGAGGGACGGCCTATCGCCAGGTTCGTGGGGCTCACGTACAGGCAGGTCACCAACTGCGTTTGTACGTACGAGTTTTTCAGAAAAATGAGTCTGGTTTTTCATAAACGGTAGTACGATGGGCCAATAAGACTGGGAATGTGGGCGTTCAAGGAAGAGGGGGGCGGGGGGGGGGGGGGGGGGGGGGGGGGGGGGG